AAACTGATACAATCTTCCAAAAAAGAGGAATAAAAGGTCGGTCACCTAGAAGACATCTGTTTGATAAAAACTTATAAAATAAACCAGAAAAGTCAGATAGGTCAAAAACATTGTAGTCTTTCAGGAAAAGAATTTGGGTTATTCACATTTTTACTGTCATTCTGGTTGAAGAAGAGCTTGCATTTAAAGAAAGGTTGGGATACCACATCTGGAACACATTGTACAGAGAGGGTTGGAGTTTAACAAGTAACTTAAGGCAATAAGAATATTCATTCAGTGAATGGTAATCAAAGAGCACTGTATTTGTGCTAATGTTAAAATTGACTAAATTTACCGTAATGTGTGTTTTATGTTAACTTACCACTGCAAGACTAAGCAAGCATTTTAGAATAGAAATAGCAGCCTTTTACAATTTTTCTGTATTGCACAATGTCTACTGTTAAAAATGAAATTTTCATACATCTGAATGAGAATCCAATGTTCCTTTATGGGCCAGTACACACAGACGTTTGATAGCTCACCAAATGCTTCATGCTTTTGTCACATCTTAGAAGGCTTTTATGATATCCTCCAAAGCTAGGTAGTCAACCATTACCTTCAGAAGCAATAAAAATCATCAGAAGCTTCTATAAAGCTTCTCTGGTACTTCCAAATTATTACATAGAAAATGTTCCCAAGGCTTCTTTCACACAAACAGTGCCTATGCAGTCTCAGCAGGGGATACTAGATGCATCCCCTGCTGAGTCGGATCAGAATGGTATGGATGTCACCTTTATGACAGAGTATGACGAGCATAGTAAAATATGGTCCTGGTACCCCTAAAATAAGAGTGAGACAATCATAAAATATATCAAACTATAACATCAATGTCTAAAATAGCACATGTAATTTGTGGATAGCCAATAAAATCAACAAAAATATACATAGCTTCTTTTTCCCACAGCGTAAGTTCCATAGTTGATGACATGCATTACACAATAACAAACAATTTTCAATATGGAGTTTGTAGATGGCATATATGCAGCTTAGTATAACAGAACAGCACTCACCTACCTATCCCAACAACCCAAACAAATCACTCAACAGTCCTTCCCCTGAAGTACACAAAAAATATTAAAAAATAGTGATTTAGTTAACACAAGCCCATATACAGTGTCATTACACCTAAAATCAAATTAGAGTCAATTTACAGTCCAAAGAAAAAATATCTTGCAGGTGATTTCACAATCATTGATATCCCTGAATAAGATTGATGGTATACTCCAGAAAATCTTCATATACCTCAAAAACAAAAGATTCTCAACATAGTGTATTATCCAAGATATTATGATATAGTGCCACACGTGTCACATGCAGACAAAATAAAGTGCCACAGCAATCGTGAAATGTCAGAACTCCAACACCTCTATAAATAAATCCACTGCACACAATATAAGAAGTGCATAATTACCCTAACATAAATACAATCAGCATAGGGTCCATAATATAGATGAAAAAACCTCCAGGCTTTAGTCTAAACTCTTCTCCACACACTTCCCATAGACCTCAATGGATAGACCAGGAGTCAGTATATATATTAAACACCAATAATTTTATTGTAGCAACTTGCATTAAAATTCGATGAGAACAGCTTCCATATAATGAGGACACCACGCCATGATTCCTCAACAGTAGCAATATGGTCAAATCATACCACTCTGAAGGAGGGCCAGGTGGTAGATGGAAGTTTCCAGGATGAGAACAGCGGCGTGTCCCGAAATCCAAAAATGGCCGCCACGATACTTCCGGAAAAACGTCGATACGTCACCACGTCATGTGCCCCCAACACGTTTCGTCACATCCAGACTTTTTCAACAGGGATCCCTGTTGAAAAAGTCCGGATGTGACGAAACGCGTCCGGGGCACATGACGTGGTGACGTATCGACGTTTTTCCGGAAGTATCGTGGCGGCCATTTTTTGGATTTCGGGACACGCCGCTGTTCTCATCCTGGAAACTTCCATCTACCACCTGGCCCTCCTTCAGAGTGGTATGATTTGACCATATTGCTACTGTTGAGGAATCATGGCGTGGTGTCCTCATTATATGGAAGCTGTTCTCATCTAATTTTAATGCAAGTTGCTACAATAAAATTATTGGTGTTTAATATATATACTGACTCCTGGTCTATCCATTGAGGTCTATGGGAAGTGTGTGGAGAAGAGTTTAGACTAAAGCCTGGAGGTTTTTTCATCTATATTATGGACCCTATGCTGATTGTATTTATGTTAGGGTAATTATGCACTTCTTATATTGTGTGCAGTGGATTTATTTATAGAGGTGTTGGAGTTCTGACATTTCACGATTGCTGTGGCACTTTATTTTGTCTGCATGTGACACGTGTGGCACTATATCATAATATCTTGGATAATACACTATGTTGAGAATCTTTTGTTTTTGAGGTATATGAAGATTTTCTGGAGTATACCATCAATCTTATTCGGGGATATCAATGATTGTGAAATCACCTGCAAGATATTTTTTCTTTGGACTGTAAATTGACTCTAATTTGATTTTAGGTGTAATGACACTGTATATGGGTTTGTTTTAACTAAATCACTATTTTTTAATATATATGCAGCTTATCCTCAACATGTTTCATGGTACTGGCCGCTTCTTCAAGAGGGATAGGAGCAATGAGCAATGAGTTTAGAAATGTCCACCTGCATCGGCGCTGTTTCCATCTGGCCATTTATGTAGATGGGCCAGAGGGGAAGAGGTTAAAGTAGCGCAGTGCTAAATAGCAAAAAATGGTCTGTTCATGAAGGAGGTAAAATCTTCCAGAACTGAAGTGATTATGCAAAATCACTGAAACAACATTTTTTAAAGGCTTTCCAGCACCCACAAACTCATGTGAATGGGCCCCTATCTGCTTACCTGGCCACAGCTAACCAAACATGTTGAAATCTGTTTAGACAATATTGTTTAAAATCTACCAATCAGTACTAGGATTGACCTGGCTAGATACATTGAAATTGATTGTTTAGGCCTTAATGCTCTTTGTAAATCCAAAGGAGTATGTTATTAGATTGTGCAGTCAGATTGCAAAATATATGCCCAGCTTTACAAAATATTACTTTTAAAAGGCTGGAGATCATTTTTTTAAAAAATGCTTTGCATGTTACATTGATAACAGATTTTTTTATGGGAGATAGGGGAAGCTCAGAAGAAAGAGTGTGGGTTTAGAGAATGGTTCTTTGGGACCCTAGGGTTCCTCCTGAGGTTACTTGAGCAGTCTACAGTGGTGAATTTATTTCTCACCTATACTGCCCACCAGTACATGGAGACAATTGTCCACTGGCTACCAACGAAAGGGATCATGGCTACACTGACTACTAATTTTAGGAGAGATCACAATTTTGACTGTCTACATCTCTTTTTGGTTAATATTATTTGTTACATTTCATGATACTGAAAATAATTTTGTCCTATACAGCAGGTGGTGTTAAAAAATGATCTGCCCTGGTTATCAAATACTCTAGGTCAGGGTTTTTCAACCAGGATTCCATGGAACCCTAGGGTTCCTCCAGAGCTTTGTAGAGAATCCTTGAGCAATGAGAAACTGCTGCCTCTCAGATACTGTAAATTTCCATTGAGACCATTGATCTTTTCAGCTATCTGTAGGGGACTAATTCTCCCCAATGACCACAAGTGCAATAAGCATTCATTCCACTGACCATCACACTAATGTATCATGAGTTGTAGATATGGTCATTTTTAGCAGGGGTTCCCTGAGACGCGAACACTATATATGTTGAAGAGGTTGGGAAAAGCTGCTCTAGGTACACCTTATTCTTTTATTATTTATCTATTATTTATTTATTACAGATATTCATATAGCACCAGCAATTTACGTAGCAGTTTACATATATCTATACTCTATTATGTTAAAAGTGTCCTTCACTGTAGTGCTGTAAATAAAAAACACAACACAAATATACACAAAAAATATAAATCATTAAACAATAGTGATAATATATTGATTTATATTTTTTGTGCATATTTATATGGTGTTTTTTTATTTACAACGCTACTGTGAAGGACACTTTTCATATAAGAGTATTCATTTGTTATTTATACAGGGTGGCAGCTGTTTGCATTTTTTATTTATTTGTTATCTAGCACATTATGTATATCTTTTAAATAGGGTGGTGGATATTTATTAATTTATATTTTTTCCACTATTTTTATTTGGAAACATATTTAGCATGGAGGCTACTTATATAGATACTATAGATATATTGTACATTCAAATCAGTTCCTAATTCTCAAGGAGTGTACAGTCACTAATTCACATTCATACATACAGATATTAGGGCCAATTCAGACAGGAGCCAGTTAACCTACCAGCATGTCTTTGAAGTGTGAGAGGAAACCAGAGTACCCGGAGGAAACCCACTCAGGCACAGAGAGAACATGCAAACTCCAGGCAGGTGGAGTCATTTATTGCCTTATTTAAAGCTAAAATTCAGGCTAAGTAAAAACTGTCTAAATAGAAAAGGCATGTGTATTTTTGAATCTTGGTGTGCTTTTTGTATTTCTTCTGATGGATCCCAGGATGGACGCACCTTTACCCTCTCCTCTCTTTCCCTTTTCTCCACCTTTCCTACATCTCTATTTGCCACATACTTTTCTTACTTTTCATGTAAGTTGATTTCCGTTGTGGAGCCTCTGATCTCGTCTAATGCTTATACATTTTTAATTATGATAAATACTCTCATGTAACAAGAAAGCTGTGGTCTCACAACCCTACAGATATTACTGATTCAGTTTATTTTAATCTGCATAGGCTTATTTCGGCTGATCTTGGCTTTCTAGTGGAGAATAGAGTTACATTTATGGGTTAATCCACTTTGTTACCTATGCTAAGCCCCATGGCTTATGTTTTGGGATCTTCTTGTCAACCTTCTCAGCAATTGTAGTTGCTGTCTGTATCCTCTGTGCTAAATGTATTGTAACTCTATCTCTCTACTCTTCAGCTCACCCCAACAGCTTCCTCACGTATCACTGATTTACTAACAGACATATCAGACTGGATGTCACACCACTTCCTAAAACTCAATCTATCCAAAACGTAGCTCATAATATTTCCTCCCCCACGTGCCTCTTCCCCTGATTTCTCAGTTAGGATCAATTGCACAACTATCAACCTATCCCCGCATGCCAGGGTGCTAGGGGTAAACCTGGATTCTGAACTATCCTTTCAGGCCCACATCCAATCCCTGTCCAAATCATGCCGCCTCAACCTCTGCAACATCTCCAGAAAATGCCTCTTTTTAACCAATGATACCACAAAGCTCCTAATTCACTCCTGTTTATCTCTCGCTTCGACTACTGCAACTCCCTCCTCATTGGCTTACCTTTACATAGGCTATCCCTCCTCCAGTCCATCATGAACACTGCTGCCAGGTTCATCCATCTTACCAACCATTCAGTGTCTGCTACCCCTCTCTGCCAATCCCTCCACTGGCCTCCATTCAGTGTCCTCCACCCCTCTCTGCCAATCCCTCCACTGGCCTCCATTCAGTGTCCTCCACCCCTCTCTGCCAATCCCTCCACTGGCCTCCATTCAGTGTCCTCCGCCCCTCTCTGCCAATCCCTCCACTGGCCTCCATTCAGTGTCCTCCACCCCTCTCTGCCAATCCCTCCACTGGCCTCCATTCAGTGTCCTCCGCCCCTCTCTGCCAATCCCTCCACTAGCCTCCATTCAGTGTCCTCCATCCCTCTCTGCCAATCCCTCCACTGGCTTCCACTCGCCCAACGAATAAAATTCAAAATACTAACAACTTTCAAAGCCATCCACAACTCTGCCCCCGGCTACATCACCAACCTGGTCTCATAATATCAACCAAACCGCTCTCTTCGATCCTTCCGAGACCTTCTGCTCTCTAGTTCCTGTGTCACCTCCTCCCATGCTCGCCTCCAGGACTTCTCTTGAGATTCTCCCATCCTATGGAACTATCTACTCCAATCTGTCCTGCTTTCTCCTAATCTATCCACCTTTAGAGGATCCCTGAAAACCGTTCTCTTTAAAAAAGCCTATCCTGCTTGTAACTAGTAAACTGCCTTTTATTTCCTCCATCAGCTCATCCCCCCCACAGCTATTACCTTTTGTATCACGCAACCCTTCCTCCTAGATTGTAAACTCTAACAAGCCGGGCCCTCTGTTTCCTCTTGTACCAAATTGTATTGTAACTGTAATGTCTACCTTCGTTTTGTAAAGCGCTGCGCAAACTGTTGGCGCTATATAAATCCTGTATAATAATAATAATAACTCTTGTTCCCATACTATTATGTATCGCTTGATTCTCAATATTAAACCGAATAAAAACGATTGAAACAGAAAATGAACTTTAAATTATCACATAACTGATTAAAGCTTAATTCTAGGCAGATATGAAGGTACAAACTGAAGTGATATTAAATACTATTTTATTATTAGGTGAGTGTTCAGGGAGGGAGAAGCACAATGAGTAGTGATACGTATCTTACCTTAATGCAGGAAATGCATTAAGGTAAAAAAAAAAAAATTGACTTTAGAACCACTTTAATGCAGCTCTCTGGTCATTAATACTTCAATAAATGTAGTTTTTTTTTGCATATTTAAGCGGTGTAAGCACATGAATTTGACTTGGCATCAGTCTCCTGTAGTTACTGTACAGCAGAGCTCGAAGAGGGAGAGGGAGAAGTAGCACAAAAAGCCAGTCAGTTGTGCTGTGGTGCTCATATGCTAACAAGAAACATGCTGATTGTAGCACAGATATACAGAAATGCAGCGCTGAGAACAGATATTGAAAGTGGAAAAAAAAAAAAAAAAAAAAAAAATATATATATATATATATATATATATATATATATATATATATATATATATAAAATGAAATAAAAAAGTAAAGGCGCTAAGAAGCACTTAAAGTGGTACGATGTGGTGGTATCGTCGAATTCTGTCTTATTGAAATGGAGAACATAAAGTGAATAATTAAAGTGACATTCAGTGATAACTGCATAACATAATAAAGTCCAAATGTAAAAGATGATAAAATAAATAAAAGTGAAATCTGTGACTCGGTGACTGGAAGCTTTTGTATAATATTGCACTAACCAGAAGCGCAATAAATTAACACATTTGTGTATATAAATCCCCTCATGGTCATCTGGATCCAAATGGGTGTATTGAGAATCATGTGGCACACGTCGGCATGTCAGGTGATTAGCAGACCTCACTCTCAGGTTCCAACTCACAACTAGACCTGGTGAGGTCTTAGTAACCTCCTCTCTAGCAGACAACTATCTGAGATTGAAAATTTGTAGAAGAGCTTGGAAGACCTACTTGTTAGAGTTGATGAGTTTGTTGGAATGTTAGATATGGTGGAGACCTGATAATACACCTGCCACATGCCCATGATTGGTCTCTTACATCGGACGTGCTGCCCCTGGAACCTGAGAGTGAGGTCTGCTGATCACCTGACGTGTTGACATGTGTCAGATGATTCTTAATACACCCATCCGGATCCAGATGACCATGAGGGGATTTATATACACAAACGCGCCAATGTATTGCGCTTCTGGTTAGTACAATATTATATTTATTTATCATCTTTTACATTTGGACTTTATTATGTTATGCAGTTATCACTGAATGCCACTTTAATTATTCACTTTATGTTCTCCATATCAATAAGTCAGATATAGACGGTACCACCACTTCGTACCACTTTAAGTGCTTCTTAGCACCTTTACTTTTGTATTTATTTTTATATATATATATATATATATATATATATATTTTTTTTTTTTTTTTTTATTTATTTTATTTTTTTTCACTTTCAATATCTGTTCTCAGCGCTGCATTTCTGTATATCTGTGCTACAATCAGCATGTTTCTTGTTAGCATATGAGCACCACAGCACAACTGACTACTCCACAACTCCACTTTTAACCTCCCTGGCGGTATGATTATTTCAGATTTTTGGTGCTGAAAGCGGTACCATTATTTTGCATGGAAATATGTAGTTTTTTTATTGTAGGCTATAACTTTTAGGAATAACTCACTGAAATCTTCCCGAACAAGAGTCTATTAAACATCCCGGGTAGGATAAAATTTGAAACACGAAATCATAAACTATAATTTAATAAATAATCATAAAAAATAATAATATAATAATAATAATATATTTAATTCAATAATATAATCAAACCGAAAACACTGAAACTTGAAATAGAGCGCCAAGTTCGCAAATTGCTGAGCAAAGTCGCAGAATCGTTTTCAGTGTCTGATGACGAATTTCCCCACGAATCATTATCACTCAATTCTGCAAGTGGTTCTGATTTACTATCGCTGTTCTCTAGCTGATCTAAACCTGCTTTTTACCTAAAGGGACGCTTTTTGGAAACCATGGATATTTCCCAGTTTCCAGGCAGAAAGAACAGACAAAATGCAGGCAGGGCATAGGACAGAGCACTCGGGACAAAATGTATGTGAAATGGGTTGAAGCAGCAATGTTTTACTATGTAAAATTTGGCAAAAAATTACATTTTTTAAAATTTTCAAATTTCCCGCCGCCGGCGCCCGTACGTTCCGACGTCACAGGGACCAGAACACAGAAGCCGGATGCCAGCATCCGCCGGAGGAGATGGCCGGGGACGCTGCAGGGGACACATCGCGGGAGCGAAGGACAAGGTAAGTGCTGCAGGGACTCCCTATGCAGCGCCGCATGGTAAGCCCGAGTGTAGTTCAGGGTTACCGCTTCTGGTACTGACATTTTACCCCGAGCTACACTCGGGAATACCGCTAGGGGGGTTAATATCTGTTCTCAGCGCTGCATTTCTGTATATATTTATCTAAAGGGTCTGAGTTTTCACCTTGTTTTGCCTAGTGCTCATGTTCTTTGTCTTTTTATCATGTAGCACAGATATGTGTGCTGCTGTGTCAGTGTCAGTATGCTGCTTCTTTTTTCACTGTCCAGTCGCAGGCTGGAGGGGAAGGGACGGGGGGGGGGGGACAAGACCTGTAAGTAGTCTTGCAACAACTCAAAATCCTGCCCATCCAGATAGGACTGTGCTGTTTGGCAGAACTGTGTAAATCTCAGAACTGGATGGACAGAGCTACAAACACGGGAAAGGTAAAACAGCTCCCATATATGTCTGTAACGTTTGTATCTGTTTTCTTAGATCATTTTCAATCTCCTCCAATATAGGTCAATCTTTCCCAAACCTGCCAATTCTGTACAAACATTCCGCACTTCTCTCTCCTGTCTAATTTCCACAGGACCAGGCTGTACTGTAACAGCAACGAACATTTCTGTCCGAATTCTGCCAAATTAAACCCTTAACTCCCGCTGTGCCAAAAAAAACAGATTGCTAGAAAAATATATGGTTAGAGACAAATTGTTCCTTTATTATTGTTATGATTACAGATCACATGTTTCGTATTTCAGGGCAATCTGAGTCAGAAAAGGTAAAAATAAAAAGAGACCCGGGCTGATTTAAAGTTACAATTAATGACATTAAATATTAAGAAGGCAAACCCACCGCAGTGATGGGTCTTAAAAGTAATAGATTAACTGCACATGAAGGTTTTGTTATTGAAAAGTATATTATGTGTACTTTTTTTGGAAGGCCTTAAACACTTATTATACTTTACAAGAATTTGGGTGGCAGATGTGGTATATATACTTCAGAAAAAGCACTTTGCCTCACAGCTTGCAATATTTTAATGGGCCAGCACACATGTTGTACATCATGGCTTTATTGAGAGAAAAACAATAATGTGATGCAAAGACCTCCGCAAATGAAAACAAGTTGATATTTGGTAATGGGTTGCATAGGACTGATATGACACAGAGCTCACTAAAACTAGAGGGAAAGCATGCAGTGTTGTCTAAGGCTAGGTTCACACCTATGCAGGTTGCATTTACCCGCTTCTGCATTGCGTTTTGCATTGCATTTTGCGTTTTTGCTGCGTTTTGATACGTCTTGCATTTTTTTTTCATTTTTAAAAATTTTTCTTGTTGCTAGGCAGATTTAAAACGCAAAACACATCAAAACAGCATTAAAAAACGCAGCAAAATGCACTACATGCTTTTTTGCAGCATTTCCATTGAAGTCTATAGAACCAAAAATGCAACTTTTTGCTTTTATAAAAGTCCCTGACCCTTTCCAAAAAAACGCACAGGGAGAAAACATGGAGATGTAAATATGTCCCATAGGAAATCATGTTAAATGGACTGTAGTGCATTTCTACAAAACGTTGCGGAAAACTCTTAGGTGTGAACCTAGAGTAAAGCAGGGTCTCCAAACGTTTCAATATGAGAGCCACTTATTGGGGTTGATTTACTAAAGGCAAATAGACTGTGCACTTTGCAAGGGCATTTGCTCCAGACCTTTTAAAATCAGGTGGAGTGTCACTTTGCAAAGAATACTCAATCACATGCAAGGAAAATTAAAAAAAACTAAATTTTTTCTTGCATGTTATTGGATGATGGAAGTCCATAGAGCTTCCCCTTATTTACTAAGCTATGGAGCAACTGCACTTGCAAACTGCGCAATCTATTTGCCGTTAGTAAATCAACTGCTGTATATTTTACAACTATTCCAGGGGCGAAAAAATCCTCAGCAGAGCTCCCCTTTATATAAAAGTAATACTGTTGTATGGTAGGTGGTGGTGGAGCCTGAAGTTTTGAGGAAGGCCTCTTTTATAGCCCTGGCTCTGGAGTCCCTGGTAAGGTGACAGGGAGCACCGGAGAACAGAGTGGC